CCGGGTGCTGGCAGGCTCCGTTAGAGAAGTGTTGCTGCCACCTCATGTCCTCTCGCAGTAGTGTTACCCCGAAGGAAAGGGACCTTCTGCAGGGTGAGGGGAGCAGGGTGACCAGCCCCCGCCTCCAGCCGCCCCTTCCCAAACCAGCGGTAGCTCCCCAAATTCTGCTCTCATAGCCCCCAGCGTGGGTCCCGAAGGGCCCTGGCAAAGCCCGCGGGCTTATGTGAGGCTGCCACCAGGACTGCGTGTGTAGGGACACTCTGCAAAACTCGTCTGGATGTATCTTGTAAGTAATCACATCACTCCCACCTTTTGTGGGGACATATTTATCCTGAGCAGGGCCTTAATTCAGCACAGCACACTCTGTTCCAGAAATATTTTTCCAGCTCCCTTGGAAGGCAACATTTTAATTTTGAACAGACAGCCTGCCCCACAGCTGATGCATTTTCACTGGGCTTCTTTAAAATTCACACCTTCTGTTAACCTAGATTTAATTTGGGTGAGTTTTACTCTGCCAGGAAAGGTGAAACCGAATACGGAGTCTGGTCTCATTCTTGACATAGGGAGTACAATGCAGGAGCAAGACCACCCCACCTTGTTTGCGTATTCTTTAACTGCCATTTCTTTTGTTCCCTAACCCCTTCCCCCCACACACCCCCCAATCTCACAGGCTTAATTAGGACAGCTCTAATGAACATGGACAGAGAAGCAAAAGAATATTACGAAGTGATTATCCAGGCCAAGGATATGGGCGGACAGCTGGGAGGATTAGCTGGAACAACCACAGTCAACATTACCCTTTCTGATGTCAATGACAATCCACCCAGATTTCCACAGAGTGAGTACCCGCTGTGTCAGGATGGGCAAAAAGGGGTGACTGAGTTGTACAGCTGCTGTTTGCTCTCATTTCAGCCATTTTTCAAACTCGGGATAGTGACAATTAGAGACGGGCAGAATTTCAGATCAATGAAGGAACTTTTCATTCAGAAAAATGTCAAAAGGGAACATTCATCAGCTTGTCTTTCAGAAGAGGTTTCTGACCTCCAAAATCATCAAAAAACAACACTTTTTTTTAAAGGATGGGAAATTAATTTACAGAAAAAGGAAAGGAGTTCTTTTGTGTTCCTAGACTGCTCACAGCCATTGCCATTGGCTGCTAATTGCTGCCCTGCTTCTGTTTTCATCCTATCTCCGAAAGGATGTCTGTCAAATCAGGGACATGTGGCAGTGCTGGAAGTTGAAAGATAATTCATTCAACACTCCAGCCAGGCCGCTGCAGGGGAGCGTCTGGTAGCTGTGCCACCAGTGTGGAGTGCGTTGTCATACAGGCAGCCCTCCAGTGAAGGTTCATCTAAACCTTGGCAATACACAGTTAAACCCTAAGATATGTAAAAGTCACAGTTAATGGAATGCAAAAATAATAAGCAACTCCATTCTTATCAGTAATGTTACTTACAAAAGTGAATCTCAAAGCAAGATTTGCAATATTTTGCTCTTTCTTTTAAAAATTTTTTTAGATCAAATTTACCTACATAATTCTGTATTACTGTTAAAAGTTTGACAGCAACTTTTTGGGTTCGATTGAACTAAATCTCTCAAGGGATATACTTTTTTTTTTAAAGAAAGCTGATTCTTTTGGTGGTGTAGATCAGTCTCAAGCCATCTTGGTTTTGCTGTTTTTCTCATCTAGCTGAGAAATGAAAACTCCTGCAGTTCTTTTTGTTGCTGTTTTTCACCATCTGTTTTTGCATGTTGCACTGCTAAATCAAAGCATTCCACTAAGATCAGCAAGAAGCCTCAACTTCCAATTGTCTTCTTCTGTCAGAGCAACTTGTTGAATGCACCATTGCCAATCCTGTTTTGAAAGTGACATGAATTGTAACTGTTTGATATCAAACTCTTGATTAAGAAAAATGAGAACAGATCAAATCTAATCCTTGGTGTTATTCTGCCTTATAAAGCTCAATAATTGGTGTAGTCAACAGAATGCAGCAAGAAAGATTTGAACATAATGTATGATGGCACAGAAGTATTTTAGATCCAACATTTATATTTTTTAAACACATTTTTAAAATAGCAGCTCTCTTTTTCCCCAGGCTTGCTGCTAAGCAAATTAGTGATGCACCAAATGTGCTCAAGACAGGGTTTGTAGGGAGAGGTAGTATATTTTAATAGAGCACCTGGTAACTTTGGAAGAAACAGGCAGGCGTCTGAGCTCCCAAAGCCTTATTCAAGGCTGAAAAGGAGTTTGTACAGACTTGAGAAAGGATTTGTGGTGCTCGAAACTTGTGTGTTTATTCCGGCTGTACAAGCCGATCTAATAAAAGATGCCTGGCCTATTAAATCTGTTTCATATCCTGCTTTCTATCATGGCTGCAGCAGCACTGGTGTTAATTGCCCTATTTTTCTAGTTGAAGTTCCCATTTTCAGGTATATTGCTGTTTTGAAAAGAACCCGTTGAACAAACCTGTTGATATGAAAAACACCTAAATAAAACTTTCCCAGGCAATTCAGTCGGGCTGTGGCTTTTTAAAGGAAGTCACAACGCTGTTGGAGCTTTGGGAAAGGTACTAGAGGCTCCCTGCAGGCTATGCAGTATTGTGGCCCGCCCTGATCTACCTTTTGCATCGCTGTGCAGTTTTCCGTTCCTTTTCACAGCCTGGTTTTTGCTCCCCTCTCCCTCTCTGCTGCTTTTGCCAGAGCACTATCAGATGAGTGTGCTGGAGTCCGCTCCCGTCAGCTCCACTGTGGGCCGCGTGGTTGCTAAAGACCTGGACGAAGGCATTAATGCGGAGATGAAATACAGCCTTGTGGATGGAGATGGTCTGGATGTATTTGATATTAACACTGATCCTAATTACCAAGTCGGCATCATAACTGTGAGAAAGGTAGTAAAGTTTCCTTTTTATAGTAATTTATATGCCTAACAGTCCTGGTTATATTTTATGTGTGCAATATTCCCTTATGCTTGTAGTAACTTGCTTCCCATTACATGACAGTAGCCCCTTTCCTGCTATAAAACACAATTTTTTTTTAACATTCATTGCTAAAATATGAAAGCAGACTGCGTTCCTAGGAGCAACCTTTAAAAAGTGGGGACAGCATTAGCATAAACATGTCTTTTCCCACCAAAGGAATGTTCTGATTCACTATTTATCTATTTAAATATTCTCTGTAGCTTAATTATCCTACAATGCAAGAAATTAGATCAATATTTGCATTTGAACTGTACACATTTTTCACTCCGGTGTCCCACAAACAATAATAAAGCATGCCTTAGAATTATTTATAAACCAATAAAACTCAGGCAGTTTTTTTTTTTAATTGCTGCTTGAAGATCCATAAATGCTAATTAGGCCAGAAGAAGCTGTCTTTAAAATGGCAGCTGTGAAACTGCTAGTACTCTGCACCTCCGGCTATGCAGAAAGGAGTAGAGTAGTTTGCTTAGACTCCCTGCTATAGGATATTTATTCTACAATCTTACATAAATGCTAGAAGTTCAGCTCTGTTTCTAGGTTATGAAATTGTAACCATATTTCTGCCTAAGCATAGCTAGCGTACTAATAAGGAAGTATAGTCTCCATTTAAATAGCCTGGGACTAAATTGTGCACTAAAAAAGAACAACACATGAGAGAGGTTTGACCCTGCAAGCCTCAATGCCCTACAGCAAAGCATTTAAGCATGTATTTATGGTCACCTTTCTCCAACTCTTGTTCACACACACACTAGTCTCTAAAGTAAGTGCATGCTTAAGTGCTTTGCTGGGATGAAATAGATGTCGAATGCAAACTTTAATGTAATTTTTCACTCATTTATTGATGAAAGAAAATTGTTTGGAATAAATGTGTCGATAAGCTTGACTTTTGTTATTATGAATACAGTTTTACTAGATGTTCGTTGTGTGTCAGGAGGAGGAGTTATAATTTATGGCATCAATTTATGGCAGATATGTACTGGCATCAGATACATACTGCTCAATCCACCTACTGTACATAAATGTTTGTAAAATTCTATATATGCCTGTAGCTTTTTGTAATGTTATGATTATGAATAGCCAAACATCGGGAAAGTTGTCCTTTGGATCCACTCAAGAAAAAAAAAATAATCAACTGGTGCTGATAGAAAAGGATATCAAAATGGGGGAGTGAGGGGAGAGAGAGAGAAAATTTCTAAACCCAGTATGAAATCTTCTTTGAAAGAAAGCAAAACTTTCCCTTTCATTTTTCTAGACAGATTTCCCAAACAAAATAACTAACACTTCTATCATGGGCATCAAAAAGTCAGAATTTACAGTTACAGATCAGACCACTGCTTGTGGTCTTGTGACCACTTATCTCCGCCAACTAATCCCACGAAATGTTGAGTGCTTCCAAAATGTTGAGCTCCTCCAGAGCTCCCCGCCCGTGAGGCTGATACTCACTCCAGTGACAGCCTTTCCCTTCTCCCTGCCTCCGCTTTCGCGCTGCTCGGAGCAGGCAGGGGGGTGGGTTACCCAGCCAGCACGGAGCCCAGCACCCGGGGACCCCCACTCTGCCCTCCCGCCCGGCCGCTGCCCCCGGTCAATCACTGTCTCACGGTGGTTCCTGCTAAATCCTGGCCACGCGGTGCAGCTCTCGGTGTCTGTCTCAGCACCGGGGGAAGGAGGACGAGGACAAGGTGGGGTGTCCGTGGGATGCCTCTCCTCTCGGCTGTATTTTGCGGCACGCTTGGTTCGCAGGAGAAGGCAATCTTCCTGCTCTCGCCACAGGACCAGTGTTGGAAAGAGGTTTGAACACACCCATGGAAGACAAATCTGATGAGGGGGGCGGCCATGTTGAGGCATTGGCATGTGAGAGGATCAGGAGGGAAAGCCAGAGCAAACTGTCTGAATTCAGGAGCATCAAAAATGTGATGACCTTGCACACTTGTTTGATTTTCTCACTTTTTCAAACTAGGTAATTAAGATTTTTCCTAATGCCGTTGGGTTTTATAGTTATTACGTGCTTGTGTGATTTAACTGCTCTTTTTATTACTTCGATTTTTAGTGTACATGCAGTGTTTCTTACACAGTTTTCTTCACATGAGAAACCATGAGATACAATGGCCTCTTTCTTAGTATATGTTTAGGCAGCTTTGCATTGCACATTCCTTGCCAGACGGACAGTAAGTGTTGCTTGGTCACGTGAATATATTTTATTGCTATTTTTACAATGCATAAATATGGTAGACCGTAATGACTCTGCAGTAATGGGTAATATGTTTGTAGATCTAGCTAAATCCTTGCTGACAAGTGCTATGCCTACAGTAGTCACTGATCTACCAGGTGGAACTAAGAGGAGTAGGAGTAAGTTTCAGATCATCTGTTTGTACCTCCTGCCACAGGTTGCACAGTTCATACTGTAATGCTGCACAGCATCTCCAGTTATACTGGACTATCATCTCCCCCAGCACAAGAAAACCAGTTCCCATTCCAGTCTTCATTCCTCCCTCCCATGTACTAAATGCTGAGTGAGTTTTAGTTTTATAATTTCAAGAACTCCACTCTTTCATCAGACATTCCTATGCAGGACATCAGTACTGGTAATTTTACTGTGAAAGCTTGATCTTTTGTATGTCACTGCAATGTTTCCACTTCTGAAGAAAGAAGCTGTTGTGGCAGTAGACAAGTATGGAAGCCTCCACTGAATTCAGAGGGTGTTTTGAGGCCCATAGTATATACTCCTGCCATGCCCGAGCATGTGAAACTTCTGCAAATGCTGCTTAAGCTAATACATGTCTCATGGCCGCAGAATTGGCTGGCTGCACTATTGAGCAAGGCAGAAAAGAGATGGGTTATGACTGGACATGGAGGATTGCACTGTTACAGTAATGATCTTCGCACCTTTGACTTCCAGTTGCTTTGGCATTCTCCTCCTTCTCTATTTCCCTGCCCATCTCCTTGCCCCAGTCTGGTGGTAGGTCTTCAAAAAGAAAGAGCTGAATAGGGAGGGCAAAGCTGTTGGCTGAGAACAGCAGTGATCTTGCTGGAGTCTGAATGAACAAAGGCTGTGTGTGATAGTTCCACACACAATGCTGAAATCCCTATGTACGAATAAAGCCACACATTTTGAAAGACATTCGTGTAACAAAAAGGAGTATGTCCCATTGGGTGACCCTGAGAATTGAGCCATTTCTTTCCTGGTACAAAATTTGTCTTGCTCAGGATCTGTGCCCGCTAAGGGAATCCAGTTGTGCTGGTTTTCAGCTTTAAAACTCCCCAGATGATACCAATGAAGGGTTGTGACCATTTAACCGCAGCAGGATTGCTTGGAACTTCTAAAAGTGCAACTTAGGAAGTATGATTGTGTCCTCTCTAAGGTGTACTTCATCCAGTGAAAAATTTTTGTTTGTTTTGGAATGATCCTTCCATACTGTCATTCTGGTTGTCAGATGGTTTTAGTTGTCTTTTATCAAGACTGGTAAATTGCACGTTAAATACAGAACTCTCCATTTAGGTCTAAGCAGGTTTTGGAGAGGCCCTATTTTCTTCAGAGATCTGCGAAAAGAAGGGGAAAGGTAGAAGAAAAAATATTATTGAAAAGTTCAGTGCCAGCGTCAATTATTTCTATATCCATGTTCACCAAATAAGTAGTTTTATCTAGAAAGGAAATCAAATTCATGAAACTACTAACAGAGGAAGCTGCCTGCCCTTTATGCATTATCCCAGGAAAGAGAATTAAGCCATTCCCACTCCCTGTTTCAAATGATACTTGAGTATTTAATACAAAGTGGAAGGGCTCTCGCAGGAAGAAGTCAGGGTAGCTCATAGTGCTCCGAAATTCAACTATTCTCTAGGCAGGGAGGAGATTCAAATCCTAACACTCAGCACACCTGGACTATGAATCTGTGCTTAAGTCACTTATGGCAGAGGTGAAAAACCCCACTTCTAGAAAGGATGGATTACTGATACAAACTGGAGCAGGATCCCTGAAGAGAGGCTGACGGTGTTCCCTGCTCCCACTGGAGCCCTTTAGCAGCATGGCAGACAGGAGACAAGACTCCGATCTCCTCAGGGAGAAAAGAGGATGCTAACTGGGACCTTCACCTCATGTGTGAGCATCCTTATCCCTGCCACCAGGACCCATTTTTGAGTAACTGACTCTCTGTGTCTTTACCTTATTTTCAAGTACTCCCATACTATCTGTTTCTGCCTGTATTTTGCTGAGAGCAGCATGAATCACACTGCATGAATCACAATGCAATGGTAGTGTGGCCACTTTTATTTTCATTTCAGCAAGAAGAATGAAAGAATATGTATCCTGAAGTGATCTGCAAATATTTCTCCCGGTTTTTTCAGTTCAACTGTCAAATTAAAAAAAAAAAAAGTAGACAGCCATTTGTAGTACTACTGTCACTCAATGCTTTGTCTCCATCTGCAAATATTTATCTTTGTTACCCTTATGATTAAAAATCATAGTAAAGACTTATTTTAAAAAAGAAGCATCAGTTTGTATTAGAGGGCATCTTTTACTTCTGTAAATTAAAATTATATGTCCTAAATCATATGGCTCAGTGTGCCTAATGCCAGATATATTTTTCTCCTCAGCCTTTAAGTTTTGAGAGCAAGAAAAGCTACACCTTGAAAGTAGAGGGTTCCAACCCCCACCTGGAAATGCGGTTCCTGAACCTGGGTCCCTTCCGCGACACGACCACAGTCCACATCAGTGTGGAGGATGTGGACGAACCTCCTGTGTTTGAGCCCAGCTTCTACTTTGTGGAAGTGCCTGAGGATGTGGAGATTGGAACGACTATACAGATCATTTCTGCCAAGGACCCGGATGTGACCAACAACTCCGTCAGGTCTGACCTCTCTTTGCATGTTCCCCCAGGAGCACTCCCTGGTACTTTTGGTTGGTGGGGCAGTGATGGGGCTGAAACAGGAGGAACTCTCTCTTTTTAGCCAGTAGGTTTTGTCAAACCAGATCTCACACGCTGAGGGGCTCTGCTATGACTGCCAAAGCAATGCAGGAGTTCACCCTTGCCTTTTCTGTGGTATGGAGAACGTCTGCATCTAGAATTGCAATGAACTGGTCAGGCATGTCCTGATAGCGTACATTAAAAACAAACCCCAGACTCTCGTGCCTTTCCTGGCAAAAAAACTGACTGCATTGCTGAGAATCTGCTGCCATACCAAGGGGAAGGTAATCAACTGACTTCTCCTCTTTCCCCCTTCTATTTCAAAGCCTGCCTTGGTCAACAGCTCAAATACACAGCTACTTTTGGAGTAGATTGAATGCATACTAATAAATATTCATGAGCCATTAAATTATATCAGCAGTCCTGGCTAACTGGGGAGGTCCCAATTGACTGCAGGTTAGCAAATGTGACACCCATCCACAAGAAGGGCAAGAGAGAGGATCCCGGGAACTGTAGGCCTGTCAGTCTGATCTCGGTGCCAGGGAAAGTTATGGACCAGATCATCTTCAGTCACATCACGTGGCACGTACAGGACAATCAGGTGATCAGACCCAGTCAGCATGGGTTTATGAAAGGCAGGTCCTGCCTGACTAACCTGATCTCCTTCTATGACAAGGTGACCCATTTAGTGGATGAGGGAGAGGCTGTGGATGTTGTCTACCTAGACTTTAGTAAAACCTTTGACACTATTTCCCGCAGCATTCTCCTGGAGAAACTGGCTGCTCATGGCTTGGACAGACATACACTTCACTGGGTAAAAAACTGGCTGGATGGCCAGACCCAAAGAGTTGTGGTGAATGGAGTTACATCCAGTGGGTGGCCAGTCACAAGTGGTGTTCCCCAGGGCTCAGTTTTGGGGCCAGTTCTCTTTAATACCATTATCAATGATCTGAACAAGGGGATCGATGCACCCTCAGTAAGTTTGCAGATGACACCAAGTTGTGCAGGAGTGTTGATCTGCTTGAGGGTAGGAAGGCTCTACAGAGGGATCTGGACAGGCTGGATCAAGGGGCCGAGGCCAAGTGTATGAGGTTCAACAAGGCTGAGTGCTGGGTCCTGCACCTGGCTCACAACAAGCCCATGCAAGGTTACAGGCTTGGGGAAGAGTGGCTGGAAGGCTGCCTGGGGCGGGGGGTGTTGGTCGGCAGCCAGCTGAATATGAGCCAGCAGTGTGCCCAGGTGGCCAGGAAGGCCAACAGCATCCTGGCTTGTGTTAGAAATAGTGTGGCCAGCAGGACTAGGGAAGTGATCGTCCCCCTGTACTTGGCACTGGTGAGGCCACACCTCAAGTGCTGTGTTCAGTTTGGGCCCCTCACTACCAGAAAGACATTGAGGTGCTGGAGTGTGTCCAAAGAAGAGCAATGAAGCTGGTGAAAGGTCTAGAGCACAAGTCTTCTGAGGAGTGGCTGAGGGAACTGGGGTTGTTTAGCCTGGAGAAAAGGAGGCTGAGGGGAGAGCTTATTGCTCTCTACAGCTACCTGAGAGGAGGCTGTAGCCAGGTGGGTGTTGGTCTCTTCTCCCAAGTAACAAGCAACAGCACAGGAGGAAATGACCTCAAGTTGTGCCAGGAGAGTTTTAGATTGGATATTAGGAAAAATTTCTTCACCAAAAGGGTTATCAAGCATTGGAACAGGCTGCCCAGGGAAGTGGTAGAGTCACCATGTCTGGAGATATTTAAAAGATGCGTAGATGTGGTGCTTAGAAACATGGTTTTGCAGTGGACTTGGCAGTGCTAGGTTGGACTTGATGATCTTAAAGGTCTTTTCCAACCAAAAAGATTCTGTGATTCTATATAGTGTCTCATCAAAGCTCCAGAGCTAGATATTCCCATAAGGAGTTAAGAAAGGGAAAGGTGTATTTACAGCCATGGGAGCTTCATAGCTGCAACTCAGCAAGGAGCCAAAGGAGCAGATTTGCATGATCACAACTCTCTTTTCCATAGTGGGTGCCAAGTCAGCCCAGTTTATCAGAGAAGAGTGTTTTCCTCTGAGGCTAGCCCACATACTAATTTTCACAACCTGCAGAAGTTCCAGGTGACTGCAAGTTAATAATCCCAGCAGGTTGGCTGCTTCTGTCATCTGATAAATGCTTTGGGTGTTGAGCTGCTGTTTGCCTAATCTTGCATCAGTCCAGCTTCTGAATTCTCTGCATTCAGCAACAGTCCTGGGAAATACAGGAGGGAGTCAAAATGCCAAGTATTTGGAGGTTTAGTTAAATCCATATGAGCAACACTGTGGGCTTCAGCTAGGAGATCTGAGCAGACACAAAACCTGTTCTTCTTAACGATATTGCTTTCTGTGTTGCTGCTTTAATTATTTTTTTCATCTCTGCTACTTTAATATACCTATTTTTCTACCTACATTATAAGGTTATCATATTTCTCATGACATTGTCTCAAATTCTTCAATAAAACTGTTATACTGTCTGCGTCACAATTTCATTACCCTAAACTTTTTTCCACCCACATCCTATTTTGCTGATTACTGTCTAGCATTATCCAAACACTGCAGTGCAAACAGCTTTGTGCTAATCTGCTTAAAATAGTGTAAGAATAATTCTGCGGACTATCAGAGGGTAGAAGTGTTCATTGTTATTTTTAATGAGGTTTTTCTTAGTTTTCTTCAGAGCTTTCCAGTGACTACCCTTGATGAAACAGCAATCTATAAGACACGGAATGCATCACCAAAGATGTATTAAAAAAAAAAAACAAACAAACAACCCAGTTGCAAATATGCAGACTCCTTTGTAACTCTGCTCCTTCCCAACTTCCTTCCTCCTTTTCTTCCCGTCTTCCTCCCTTCCCACTTTCCTTCTTTTCTTCCCTCCTTCCTTCCTTGTATGTACAAGCATAAATGATTGGGGTAGATGAAACAGGAAAAAAAAATTAATGTAATGTAATGCTATCTAAAATGCAAATGTTAGGAACTGGTTCTCCTTGCCTCTTATGTGGTCTCCTCCTTCCATGCCAAGTCTGTGCAGTATCAGTCTGGCAATGTTTCAGGCTTCCTCTGCATTCACTTTGCACAGGGCAAGGCACGATAAGAAAAACAAAATCCCAGATACATATTTGGTTACACAAGATTAAATCCATCTGAAATTAAAACTGTGATCTGACCACTCCTTTTGCCATTTTTTCAAGTATGAAAGAGGACACATTTCTGCAAGGTTTACTATACACGGGGGAACTCTCAAATCCTCATTTTTCCAGTGTCCAGTATCTGGACTCTCACACCATGAAATTCTGACTGTTGGAAATATGCCATGATTGTTGTTAAGTGATTCGGGAAGATTACCTAAGAGTACAGCAGAAATGATTGCGAAGGAGCAGGTATTATTAACGGGAGAACTTACATGGAAAATCCAGACAGACTCCACCTGTGCCTCTTGACACCGGTGATTAACACCGCACCGCTAATCACAAGGCCAGATTCAATTTCAGATACTTGCTGGCCTTAAACTGTCATAGAGAAATCCTTTTTATAGCCCTCATACAAGAATAATTATTATAGCAAAATATAGCAACACTCGTACTTATTTCCTAAATAAATCAAATGCCTCAGAAATCTCTTTATTTAAGAAGAGATGGGAAGGAAAAGGAAGAAAACCTGCCATCCCACCCTCTTTGATTTTTCTGGGGAAAAAAACGTGTAAAAGAATTTCCCATCAACATAGCTCAATAGCATTTTATATCCCAGTTTATTAAGTGCCTATATAAAGATCAGGCTGGCGTGCCTGTATCAGCGAATGCATTTGTGCTGAAAGAAGAAAATTCAGAAGAACAAGCCCTGTTCAGCATCTGTTATGACTAATGCTTTCAATTCCCATCAACTTTGAAGAAAGAACCAACAGAAATGAGAGTAAGTCCGGGCTCTGTTCTAGGCTGTGGCATTTACATAGGCACATGCATGGGTTTTGCCAAAAGATCTCTCACCACGCTGACACAGCGGGCTAGGAAGGCAACTCCTACAAACTGCTGTTAAGAGCAAGGTGGTGCATATGAAGGGTATTGAGTATTTTACACACCCTGCGAAACGGTCCCTCTGACTGCGTACAGCAGCGACAGCTGTTAATCAGCTGCCTCCCTGCCCAAGGTACCACCACACTCCCCTGCTCACAGGTGCGAGAAGCTTGTTCCCAGCATTAAACTGACATGATGTTGGCCAGGCGGGTTCAGTGATTATGATGAATCACCATCACAGAGGGAGCTGGTTTTCTGGCTGGATGACATGAGAAAGCCAGTTGTCATCCCCCTTGTGTTGACATGGCTCAATAAGTAGGATGGTCCAGGATGCAGGTGGAGTTTATTCCCCTCAAGGAGGAGAGAATACAAAAGCATGAGGGAGGGAGTGGTTCTTCCTTGTCAGCCTAGATTGAGCTGATGTAGTCATTTTCCTCCTGTCTGAATTGTGCCCAAGGAAAGGGCATAATTATTTTGCTTAGAAAAAGAAATCACACTCCTCACTGACAGATTTTCTCTGTAAAGCAGATGTTCCTGTGCTGAGCTGTGCCTTGCTTTGAGGCTTCTTCCTCTAAATCTTCCTGTCTTCCAGCTCCATCAAAGTACTACTCACTGTTAAATGCCGTTAGCCACATGAACTCCTAGTTTTTCGAGCATCTCACTCTGTACCTATACAAGTCAATGAAGCACACAACTAGGTTGTGGAAGGATGTGGATCTGCTATGTATGACATTATTCCTGCTGGGGTACTTCGTTGGCTATAGCACACATTTTTCACAAGGGTTGCATAATATTTTTAATATGTACTCTTGCAGATACTCGATTGACAGGAGCAGTGATCCGGGGCGGTTCTTTTATGTCGACGTTACATCAGGAGCACTGATGACTGCAAGACCTCTCGACCGGGAGGACGTTTCTTGGCACAACATCACTGTGCTGGCCGTGGAGCTGAGTAAGGAGAATGCAGACTGTACATAGATTAAAGAGATACAATAGAGAAAGCAGGCTGAGAGACCTGAATTCAGCAATTCGCATGTTCTTGTGCACTGACTGGGAAGCTGTATTAACTGAATTACCCTTCTGACATCAACAAGGGAATACTGCATTTTATTTATTTTTTTATGCTCCTTTTCACAGGGTGGTGGGAGGACTAGAGGCTGGCAGTTAAATGCAGAATGCTACTTTTTCAATTCATTAGTATTCAAGGGATTTATTTAAAACTCTTCCTGATGTGTTTCTGCAAGAGCTCTATCTCTCCAGAAGCGCTGGGCGGCTAAAGCAGGTGCTGCAAAGGCTGCACAGCTGCCGGAGCTGCCAGTCCTACCTGGAAGGATTGAGTGGTGCAAGTACTGGTAGGCAGCAATGATCCCGCACTGCTAGGTCGCTAGTTGAAAGCTGCTCTGGATCAGCAGCAAGTAAATGTCATCACCATCTGCTTATTGCATAAATAATTTGGTCCAGAGTGCTTTGGGATCTTCTAGTATGCTGAATTCGTTACGCTTTTGGGTTTTACAATGAGCTAAAGTTCAGCTCAGGATTCATCCATGCCAGGTATTTACCGAGGCTATCAGAACAAGGAGATGCTGATCATTTCATAGCGTCAGTATGAAAAATTTAGCTGAGTTTGAAATACTAACAGATGTGAGCTTCATAAAGGAGTTTGGCATTTATAAGCAAATAAAATAAAAGGTTCTCCCAGTCTTCACCTGAAATCTCTTTTGTCCACATAGCTTTTGCTCAGGATCTCAGTTCATCTTATATGGGGCAGCAGCTTTTCAGAAGTTTGCTGCCAATAGCTGAGTCATTCCTCATGTCTGAGAGAGCTCTCTGCATATCCAGGCTGTATCACAGATATGGGGCAGTTTGAAAGGAAAAAAGTTCCAAGAAGCTTGCCCAAAATGCTATCAGCGTACTTGAAGTTAGCAGAGGGAATATTTCACAAGAGTCAGGGGTGACTCTGCCATGTATTTGTAGGCACAAAGTACTTCCAGCACACAATGCCTTTCTGTCCCCTTTTTAGTAGTGAGAGGGGTTGGTGACATGATAGGATCTCACCCTCCTCTATTCCGACGCTAGTTTTATTTTCAGCCACCCATGGCCATTGCAATTCCATGTAAATCCACATACACACACGAGTCTGTAAAAGCTGCCCCTGTAGCAGCCCTCGAGGGTGAGAGCAATATGAAGATATGTCTTCCTTTGACTCATCCTCCCATCAATCCTGGCGGTTTTGCTCTGTACATGTGCAGCACAATATTGTAATTTAGTGAATAGTTTCAAAAATGTCATAGTTGTGCACTCCTGAATAAGCTCCTAGTTTTAAAAGTTAGATCAATATTACTAAGAGTGTAAATGCAGACATTCATTTGCTGCAATGACAAGTGTGTTAGCAAGATATGTATGGGTGTGTGGGAAGCTGAAGGATTAAATTATAAATTAGGGAGAAACAATATTGTTTAAGAGTATTATCTCAATGATACAATGTGACACGTATTATGGATACAGTACATTGAACATTTAAGAAAATTTCAGAGTGTAAGAAAATTCTCTATTGTTTATATGAACATATCATTTCTTGCTATAAAGGGAGATATATTTGGAGATAAATCCACAAAGTGGTATGGCTAAAAAGAAGACGAGAATACTGATTTTTAAGAATTTTCTGGATTTTTGCACCTTTTCTGACCTCTTAATAATAAATATCTTTTTTTTTCTTTCTGCTTAGAATTTCATTTTATCATTAAATAAGGGAAAAAAAGATGTTTCAGGGCAGAAAAACACAGTAAGAAAAAAAAATATTATGTGGCCACTTAGTTTGGAAATCGTGAAGGTATGTGAAATGATGTATGGATTTACTGGCAAAGAAAGCTAATGAACCAGTGGGACAGAAATATCACAAATGATGTCATGCAGAATGTAAAATTTTCATTGCAATTTTAAGCTTCAGTGAAAGCTTTTCTGTACAATTTCATGTGTTATTAAATTTTAAAAACCCCTGTACAAAGTATCAAAGACTTGACACTATTTTTGAGTTCAAGGAACATAAATTCTGAGCAAAAACATATCTGAACTGCAGAATTACCACTTACAACAAGCTCTAAATAACAAGCCTATCCTTAAAAAGAGTCCCTTCCTAATTCATGCCACCAGTACCACAGCTCAACAAACAGTACTGCACAGTGAAATGGCAATAAGAAAATACAGGGCATTGTCTAAAACTTTTTTTATACAAACAGTCCCATTGGACTGAAACAGATTGAAGTCCTTCACAGAATTTTGTTTGAAAAAGATGTAATTAGATGAGAAGCCAGGACAGACAGAGCAGCATTTCCAACTTCACTCCAAGTCACACAACCCGCCAGCCACCGCAGTTCCCGATGGGAAAATGTCATTTAACGTGAGTCAGTAGTGGAAAAGCTGCTTTACCTCTTGAGCAGAGTGAGGAGCAGCCCCTTCCCCTTCCTGTACATTGCCTTTCTTTACGTTGTGCCTCCTCTTTCCAGACAACCCCTCGCAGGTGGGCAGCGTCTCCGTGACGGTCAAAGTCCTGGACGTGAATGACAACGCGCCGGAGTTCGCAAGGTTTTATGAAGCTTTTGTTTGTGAAAACGCCAAAGCGGGTCAGGTGAGGAACGCTGGTAATGCCAGGGGTTCGGGAGGGGATGCTGTCCTACATGGAGACAGGGTGCCGGAAAGGGTGAGTGTTGGAAAGAGAGCTCAGCTAACCACACGTTTCATCTGAACTCTCATCAGTCCGTGCCGCTTTCCAAAGGCAAGCACGTTACACCGAGATTAGCACCGTATATAGCACATCTTTTTCTTCCCGCAGTAGCTTCCAGGCTCACTGCACAATACACTTCATGGCTGAAATAAAGCCTTCCCTTGGGCAGGCGCCAGCAGGCAAACACCCAGTGTGTCCTGTAGCAGCAACAACGAGAGAAGTGTTACGAGAAGTGCCACAGCGTCAGCCCGGCCTACGTGTGACAGACAAGGCTTGCTGTTAAAAGACCCCGTTTATAAGAGCCTTAAGCACCCCTGGACTTAGGGGAGCTGGACATAACACACTACATCAGCTTCAAAGGAGCGTCAAACTGAATCTGTTCTGCTGTGAACTGGAGATGACAGAGAGTCATAGACAACACGGGACTTCCCGCTCTGCAGAGCATAAACCAGCACCTCCAAATAAGCAGCGAAGCCTCTTTGCTCCTCTCCTTTCCAGCACCCCATCAGAGCCCTTGAACAAGGTCTGCCTGTGTCGCAGATGGACGTGAACTCTCCCTTGCTTGAGCCGGTGCAGGCTCTACTGCTGATTGCTTGCAGGGAGGTGACCTGGTGGAGACTTGTCTCTCCTAATGCAAAGCTGACTAGCATAGTTTAAACACATAGATGCACCACTTATGATTTGTGAAGGAAAAATTACGCTAGTAATATCACTGTGTGTTCCTTGACACTTCTCCCAGCTTGCTGTGAAGCAGAATGAAATAGCTACTCACTGCTGGGACAACTGTCCTCACAACTACTTTATATATGGGATAATTTCATCTCACTAGTTTACAGATGTCCTTAATAACACAGGGAATAGAAATCATTGCCTAGCCTTTTTCCTGGTTTTGAAGGGTGTCCTAAATAATAAGCTTTCTGAGAAATGCACGCTAATTTGGACTGCTTCCTTCAGTGGAGAAAGCTAAATTCTGTTGCTGCATTTTGAAAAGTTTTGAAATCAGTTTTAAGGCGGTGCATAAGACTTTGGGTCTGTCATTTTCCTTTGAATCCAAAAATAACTTCTGAATGCAAAAATCCAGGTGAAGATTTATTCCTTGTCTAAAAAGATGTCAGAATGTTTATTCAGACAGAGCTATAGCTCACTGTGCTTCAAGCTGTTAGACCTACTTTACTAAGTCTCTATACGTGAGGTGATAAATCTCTTTCTGGATTTAGCATTGTTTTAGTTTCTTTCCATGGTGTTATTTATTGCATATGCAGAGTGTCTGCATGGTTGCCTTTTCTTTCTTTCTTTTCCACTGACATCTTGGGAAGAATTTAATTGATTTAAAATTAAGAGAGTGATAAAATAATCAACCTGAAGTCCTTTCCTACCTGCAAAATGAAGCTGAAAATAAGTATGGCCTTTCTTACAAGCTCTCTAATGCACAATGAATCTTCTGAACACCCTGGGCCCTCAAAAGAAAAAAGAAACATGCAACAAGCTAGGGATGCATGAGAGAAAAGTGTCTGTCACTCGAAGCAAACTGACTATCATCTCCTCCTTTGTTTAAAAGTGATTTGCATGATCGTAGCTAAATAAATGAAGCCTGCAAGGTTTTGAGTCTCTTCTTGATTTATCTATTGTACCTCTGCAAGACAGTTTTATTAAAATGCTCCTGTTGCTTATATTTATATATATTAAAACTATACATGTTATCTGTTTGTTTGTTTATATTATATATATTTTGCCTCTTACCTGTTTCTCCTTTGTTCTCATATTCTGTAGCTGATCCAGACAGTGAGCGCCATCGACAGGGATGACCCACAGGAGGGTCAGCACTTCTACTACAGCCTGGCTCCGGAGGCAGCCAACAACCCCAACTTTACTCTAAGGGACAATCAAGGTAATCAGAGTGGACACAGACGGTTAGCTACTCTAATTTCTAATGCCTGAGTTGGACTTGAGAGGCTGTGACTTACAGTGTGTGATAAGACTGCCATTTCAAATAATACCAAGTGACACCTGGTCCTTAAAGGCAGTGATAAAATGACATATTACTTAATACACTTGAAGGTTATATGATATTTTCTTCTCTATAAATATTCTCTAGCAATAGGCCCCTTTTTCTTCTTCGAGGAAATGTGCCAGTGTTTTGTGCAAATTCAGGTCTTGTGGTCAGGCTGCAGGCATCTTGGATTACCGGAGTGGAAATTGCATTCGTTCAAAAGGAGATGCTTAAAGGTAGGATAGCAACTGGAACTAGGAGACAAATCTGAAGGGAATTACATTGCTCTTTTTTTGTACTCTTCATGTTTTCTCCCAGGCACAGAAAGGGAAGGTTCTTGTACTGTTCCAGTCTTTTCCCCCAAGCACTTTTTTTTCTTCCTCTTTGCACATCCTCATTTCCCTTGGAAAGGGAGGGAGGTAGGGAGGAGATGCAGAGCCTTAGGGGGGTAACTTGGCATACAGCTAAAAGTCTGTGTAAGATGCACTAAGTAGAAACTGAAACACCAGTGGGAAGACTCATGGCGAAGAGCTGGCATTTGAGTATCCTAACCAGTGGAATTTGCTTCTTCTGGGGAAGCTTTGGTGGGTTTGGAGCCTGCAGGAAAAGCCCTGCCATGGCAGGCCTTCACATGACTGCTGCTGATAGAGGATCTCCATGGGCAGACAATGGTGCTGAGGTCAGGTCCAACCAGCCTTCATCAGGAAAGAAGGACAACCTTGAGTGACCTGGTGCGGAGCTTTGAAACTCAATATGAAGGGGCTGGATTTCGGTAGAAGTTTGGTGTGTAAAGTACCACAAATCAGCAAGCAATTCCCGAATAAATGGGGAGAAAGACTGGCCACCTGCAGCATCCGTGGCCAGTATCCAAGCAGAGTGTCTGCCCCTGCTCCCTTGTGACACCCGCTTGTCACACTCATTTCCATAAGCCCCTATCTGTGTCTCTGCAGGCATATGAAAGAGCAACATAGAGGCTAATAAAGAAGCCCCCGCCTTCACTAACCAAACATGTCTTAAAACATGCTACTTGCAGAGTCGGGAGCCCTCCTTCACAGCATGCTAATGCTTTTTCATCCCCAAAACAATTTTTTTCTATAGCATCCCTGAAGCCTGCCCACAGAATTTCTTGCATTCTTATCCCTTTCTTTCTCCCATTGTCTCCCTCTTTTTTATTTTTGAATACATATTGCCAAAATAAGTGAACAAATAAAACACAACTATTGCTAAAACATTTGGCAAACTAGGCTCATTTCATCCTCAAGGCATTGTTCTAAAAAAAGAAACTCACAAAATTCCCAGCATCAGATGCACTTTTTGTGTCTAAGGCCATACTTGCGATAATTTATAGTGACAGCAGTGACTGAATGGCTGTGCCTCCCGCTCTCTGTAAAAGACCGGTTTTCCAGAGATATATATCACAAGAAGCTTAGAGTACTATTGGTTACGAATTTGAAATAAAAATGTTAAGTATCAAACCACTGACTATTTGAAATATACACATTAAGGATTAATTTAGTGCCTCAGCAATTTGGAGTGCAGTAGTCATTTCAGTAACAATAATTTATATTTATATTTTCATCTAGGGACCACTAAGGACTAGATAAATTATATTACTTAGTCACAGAGGGGGTAGCTATACTGTATGTCACAGGGTGGCAAGACAAGAAACAGAACCCACCTTGCTAGTCACAGCCTGTGCACGTAAACACGAGACAGCAACGCTTCCCAGGCTGTGGGAAGGCGCTATTAAGATTAGCAATTGCACTGATTACTTGGTTGTCCAATATAGCAGTAAGAGAAACTGCAAGACATGCAGCCTTCCTGGCAACAATTGAAACCTTGATTTATATTGAGCAACAGATAGATCACAGTTTGCATTCTGATGAGCTGTTTTACATATTTCTTTGGCCCTTGTCATTTTAGTCTCTGAGAATTTCTTCAGTCTATTCATTCTCCACATATCTCTGGCAGACAGAGAAATCCTATTGTTCTCCACTTTAGAGACAAGGATTTGGGGCAAGAAGAAATTAAGCTACTTACATGCCTGGTTTCCTTTGAGTTCAGTAAAGTCAGTGGGAGATAGACATGTAAGTATCTGCAAAGATCTAGGCCTAAATGACTTCCCATATGATGAAGCAGGGAATTGAGCTGGGGTCTCCCATCTCTTTGGTTACTGACGTAGGGCACTGGCAAGTCATCTTCTCCTGCTTCTAAATCCAGGTGAGATTATGCTGGGGAAAAATTGGCAAAAGAGGCTTGCTGTAAGAATGGGATGAGCCATGAAATAAACTTACTGCATTTCCAGATTAAACCCTGAGCTGATCTTCTGTTGACCCTTAACTGCTGCCCTCTGTCTTTGGGTACCAGGAACTGATGAAGAGAGCAGCCATTTTAATGGGTGCAGGCATCAGCGTCATACCACCACCAGGCCTGTCATTGGAAGCCTCTGGCAGTCCCCTCCATTGCATTTAAATTTGTCCTAGGAAAATTTTTAGCTATTTCTTCCTTCCCTAAAACTGTGGTCTACCTCACATTTTGGCAGAGTGCAAAAGCAGTGAGCTGAAAATCCCCAAGAATAAATGTGACTCCTTCCTCAAGCTGTTGGTGTCTGTAATACCAATTTCCTTGTGCTCTTTCTCCCACTCCTAGTGAAATATTTCTTTATGTTATTCCTAACTATTCATAATTATTACAATTAGTTTTTAAAACCTAACAGTTCTGGTCTAATTATCCCCAGTTCTTGTACAAATGCATGCAGAAAGAAATCAAGCCTTTCTTGTGAGAAGAGCAGTGGTTAGCTCTGATGTCAGGGTTTGAACCTACGCAGTGGTTAATTCGTCACTTCCAGTGGAGCAGAAAACTGCAGGAAGGAGACACTCCATGGCTTGCTCTCACAACCACATGAAGACACCACCCTGTATGCCCGCAGGAAGTACAGCTTTCACCTCCTGCTGATCACACAGGCGCGGGACCCACCATGCTGCAATTTTCAGTATCTCTGCTCAGTGTTGTAGCTAAGCGCTGCCATCCAACCCTCTGCAAGCCAAAGACACTGTTGGAAGTTGTGTTGCAAAAATATTGTGCATTCTGATCATGCTTTCTTTTTTTTTTTTTTTTTTTTAATATAAGGGGGCTTTCATGTCCTCACAAGCCCTCTTCTCGTAATGGCTGGGGCTTAGCAGATAGCAAATTTGGAAGAAAATCATGTATTCCAGTTCCTGCCATGCTGCATCACATTCCAGCACATCCTTTGCACTGCAGTAGCACGTCAAATCACATTGGCTTTTGATGAGTCACACAAGAAGCTTTGGCACCAACATATTGTAGTTGCAGAGTAACAGGTAGAATGATTCTTTAGGGATGATTTGGATGCCTGCCTAGTACAAAGCAAAACAAAACAAAAGGGCCAAAACATAATGCCGAGAGTCACCAAGAGAATTTTATCACCAAGAACATTTAAGACATGGGTGATATGGCCAACACATCACAGCTAAAAAAATATGTATAGCCATATATATTTTTCAATATTTGATTATAGAAACTTGAGTCTGGCCTGAACAACATTATGGTTAAAAACACTTGAGATCTCTGCACAGCTTCAGACAGGTTCACTGCCTGTGACTTCTTCTATTGGCAAAGTATGACCAGCTCAGAATAATGAAGTCTTTTTCCCTCACAAAGAGCAATTTTACATAGAATGAAAATTTTCTGTCACCTGAATAGAATTTGTGACTTCTATTGAAAGTCAGTTTAAAGAGAGTGAGTTTCACCCATGAAAGAGAAATGCAGTCAAATTACCACACTGTTAAGATGACTCAGCCATTTCCATTGACACAGCATAAATCCAGGCACTTTGCCATTTTCTGCCCTTTGGGCTGCTTTTTCTCATGCTAAAACAGGCCCAGTGATGAAAAGATGTGGTATTAATAGCTGGGGAGCACATCCTAGAGGGCACATAAACAGCCCGAGGGAGAGAAAGCACTTGCATGTACCCCAGGAGAGAGGACGGGGAGGTTTGCAGGAGGCGAGGGCTCCTGTCTGCAGCGCGCCCCTTGCCCAGGACCCGTGGTGGGAGCTGCAGGGTGCTGCTCTCTGCTGGGCTTTGGGACACATTCCTGAAAATCAGCTATGTCTGTCCACACCCGCTGCACATCCTCAGAGCTGCATGGCATATCAAAGGGTGGTGAAATCAGTAAACACTGACACATTATCAGTTTTAAGCAACTTTGGGGATTTCATCTTGCACCTGGTGGTCTCTCCTTAAAGCTCCAGCTCTTGGGATCACGTGATTTAATGACACACTAATGAGTTTCACTATACATTCACATACGGACATTCGTGTACACATCAGAATTTTACGCCTTCAGAGTAAAAGCTTGAAATATCATTGACATGCAAGAAATAAAAGACTCTGAGATTCCTTTTAAAAACATGTCACAAATTCAAACTAATCTCATGAACTGTGGAGCCTGATGTCTCAATAGTTATGTGTGCCAGTACTGTCTGATGCCATAAGATTTGCAGCACAAAGTATAGAACTTGGAGCATAATTTAAGTCTAGCAAGCAAGTGTAGCGAGTCTAGCTTGAGTTTGCATATATTCCATAGCTGGCTGTATGTAACACTCCTGATTTCACTCCTAAAAGCCATCAAATCATTTCTGATGTTCAGGCTACAGCAGATAATACAGCTGATTTACCTGCATGCAACCTGAGTCTCTGCACTGAAGAAAATCACCCAAGATTTAAATTTTAGCAGTGAATTGACACAGAAATAATAAAGAAATGAACAATTCCTTGTTGATCTTTTGGGGGTTTTCACAGTCTACTTGTGATCAGAAGGTTTTTTGCCATTCCCAGGCAGCAATTCCTGGAAATTTCCATTGTGCCAATCCACCTGGGAACAGCTGATTGGCATCCTGCATTTCCAAGTATACCAAATGTACATTGGTAACAACCTGGAGATGCAGATGGCCAGACTGTGACCTCTCTTGAACCAAGGGAACAGGAAACAAAACGAAGTACTAAAAGAAACTGCATGAAGCTCAGCTCCCAAAAATCCCACAGCACTGCTGCACGAGGTCAGGGCTTGTAGGTCTGCCAAAGAGAAGAAGTACCTGTGTTCCCCATTTATCTTAGCTAGCCCAAGATTTGTGTTTGTAAGAAGGGACGATTTTCCTGCAGGTTCCTTTAGATTCACTGGTGGCCCAGATCACACTGGAGACATACAGCCTTGTGCTTTCCAAAAGTATCTGAGGCCAAAAATCTTGAAAGTCAGCACTGACAAAATCATCACTGATCTTCAAAGATTTTTCCTTGGCATTTCTGAGATGAGAACTGAGAAGAACAAATTCCTGAATCCAATTTCTTTCTGATTAGGAAACTTGGTGCACAGTCTGAGGAATGTGAGGGAGGGGCTAGACAGGAATTCAAATGCCACTGGGAAATTCTGACATTTTAAAAAACATGCTGAATATGGATGAAAAAGCCCCAAAGGTAGGAATTTCCCTTGAAATGACCAACAGCAACTGGCTGTTAGGTCACTCTCTTACTATTTTGTTTCAGCAGCATCGTTTTGATTCCTTTTGATTCAAGTTCTTATAAAAAACAGGCAGTCACACTAAATGAAGCAGAATGGTCAAATCAAAGCAGAATAATTCTGACAATGATGACGTGAAGAATTCTGACTTTTTTCAATGGCAAAAGTGCCAATGAAATTGCATGTATTTCACTGAAAAATGTTTAGTTGCAAATTTTCAAGTTGCAGCTGCATTAGGATTGCAAGCTGCTTTTCTCCTTTGTCTTCTTGTTGCCTCAAGCAAATGCCATGCCATGTATCAAAAACATAAAGAGAACCTTAACATGTCCATAATGGTTATACACTCGCATCTCCAAAATGGTGGCAGCACTTAGAAGTGAGGTCTAGAAAAGCTGCTGAGCATCAACAAACAGGGACAACAAGTTGCCTTCAACTGCTCATTTCTGTCTCGCCTTCTGAAAGCTGTTTTAGCTAAATCTGAAGGCTATGAGTTTGCTCTGGGCACTTTATGTCAGAAAGGGTAAAGGCAACTCATAAGGTGTGTATGCCTTGCAGGTTTGGAGCTATGGCCTGAGAAGATACTAGAATAGGGGAGGCAAAGGCAAAATGCTGATTAGTGACAAACTGATAAAAAACAAAGGAAAAAAGGAGAAAAGACAAATGGATGTGGGTCTAGGGCTGATTTTTTTAATCTTCCTTCTCTGCTGAATATATTTGCTCTGCACATAAGCTCTTCTCTCCGTTTATTTTCTACCCCTAGACAATACGGCATGGATTTTGACAAGGCGTTCTGGCTTCAGACAACACGAGCAGAACATTTTTTACCTCCCCATCTTGATCAGCGACAATGGCCGCCCCATGCTGAGCAGCACAGGCACGCTGACTGTGCACGTGTGCAGCTGCGATGATGACGGCATGGTGATGTCCTGCAACGCGGAGGCCTACGTCCTCCCCGTCAGCCTGAGCAGAGGGGCACTCATTGCGATCCTTGCCTGCATCTTTGTCCTGCTAGGTAAACCCTTGGCTTCTTCTTGGGAGAGGACAAACTCTTCGGTTCTGGACAGGGGGTTGCTGATCCACCAAAGGTGAAGGACACAAACACACACACACATCTGTGTATATGTATATATTATATGTAGACACACACATACTTAAAGGGCCAAATCAAAGACCAGATGTTGTAGTCAGCTGCATATGGCTTAAGCCCCTAGGGTGTAGGAATGGGGTGAAAAATATGGCCTGCAAATATTTCTGCCAGATCCCCAAAGTGCTAGGGTGTCTGGTATGGCCCTGCTTTCCGGGAAGGCATATGCCAGAAGGAAGTAATGAGAGCTGTGGCTGGAGACAGGTTACTTTCTCGTCCTCAGCAGTTTCTGATTATATGCTCCCACAGGAAACAGGAGTGGTAAGTCCAGTTCCACCTCTTGTCTTTTGGCAGGAGATATCCCCACCTCCATCCTTTTTCCTCGAGATGCTACATTTAAATGGTGCCTGTGCTGCTATAAAGGGGATGAGCATCTTGTGTGTGTTTTGCCTCCACAAATAAATCTCATCCTTCCCTTGCCCAGGCCTTCTATGTCCCCTGTTAGCTGTTGGTATCAAAAGAACTTCAGTTCCCTCATTCACTGTCTTCAGTCATGAGATACTAGTTCAAAACACACTTTCCCTGAAATTTCAGAGGATCCAGTTTGAGGAGCAGTGAAGTAGGACATAGGAAAAATTCTCATCCTCTGCAAAGGACCCTAGATACCTCAGTCCAAAATTTCAGAATTCAAAACCTTTGCTGAGTTCTAGCCCAGGAAATACAGTCATGAGGTGACATATTTTTACAGACAACCAGGTAAAGACCTCTCATGCCCGTATGACCACTTCTCCCCATGCTAAGAAGCACCTGCATCTCATTAGAGCCAAGCAACTGACAGTAGGTCTACCCAGCCCAAGGCAGTACCTTGCACATAAACAAAAAAAAGCTTTGCAGTAGACTAAGGAGGTAGCTCTGCATTTTGCTGTGTAGGCAGACATATCACCATGGTTCTTCAGTACCATCCATCTATGTCACGTGCAGTGCCCAGCCCAAGAGGTATCCCCAAAGCAGGCTGCAAAACCCAGCTACATATCAGGAGAAAATTATCTCTGTGGAGCTGTGTGCCTTGCAGACAGATCATTACTGATACCTCATCTGGTTAGCTTAAAATTAGCTCAAGTATTGCTGCAGTACAATGGCAAACACCACTGGATAGACACGTGTCTAAGTGACTAAGTGTCACTGAGAGTTAAGAATTAAGGTGAGAAAAGGGATAGATTAGCAGAACCTCAAGCTACTAATTTTGACAGGGGAGGGAGGGGTGGATTTCCACACCCCTCCACCTGCAAACACCACAGCCCTTTAAATCCAAGCGGCTGGCTGGGCTCAGTGAAGGGAAAACTGGGCAGCAGAGAGTCTGAAGCCCTTGCAAGATCTACCTCCTTGCTGACTGCTCCGTGTCTTGGTTGCCTCCCACAGTGCTGGTTCTCCTCATCCTCTCCATGCGGCGCCAGCGGAAGCAGCCGTACATCATCGATGAGGAGGAGAACATCCACGAGAACATCGTCAGGTATGACGACGAGGGCGGTGGGGAGGAGGACACAGAGGCCTTTGATATCGCTGCCATGTGGAACCCACGGGAGGCCCAGCTGGTGGTGAAAAACCGTCAGGACATGCTCCCTGAAATAGAGAGCCTCTCCCGATACGTGCCTCAGGCGTGCATCATGGACAACAACGTCCACAACTACGTGCTTGCCAAGCTGTACGAAGCTGACATGGACCTGTGGGCGCCTCCCTTTGACTCCCTCCAGACGTACATGTTTGAAGGGAATGGCTCGGTGGCGGAGTCGCTCAGCTCCCTACAGTCGGTGACGACAGACTCAGACCAGAGCTACGACTACCTGACAGACTGGGGGCCGCGCTTCAAAAAGCTGGCTGAGATGTACGGTGCCACGGACAGCAGCGGAGCTCTGTGGTAACGCACAAGGAACGTCAGAGAGGTTTCCATGCGAAACAGTGTCCGGTTAAGTCCATTCTCATCAGATGCTTCCATGGACGTGGGCGAGGCCTCCTAAAAAAATAGCAATACGGTGCTTGGATGAGAATGGGAAGAAGGGTGCGAATGAAGGTCTCTCTGGATCAGCTTTACTCAGTTAAATTAAGTCACGTTTTTGAAACAGCGAGAAGCAGAAGGAAGAAATGTTTTTCCTGGGTTTTACAGCAAAATTGGAAAGCTCCATGACTGGAATATAATGACATTACTCTCTCTCTGTTTCCCTCTCTCCCTCTTTCTCCCTTGTACACGGCAGCTTACTGAGCTCTATACGTCTGGGTTCGAAGATCTGTGAACTCCAACTGTAATCTCTAACTCACTGAGAAATTGCCAGCATAGAAAAGTGGTTCCCCACCAGTTATTTTTCCCCCATTAAAAAGGAAAAAAAAAATTGCTTGCTAACAAGAGGGAAAAAAAAAATCCCACAAAGCAGAAAATTGAAACTGGAATCTCAGAGGGCTCTTTGTAAACTAAACCTCCTCTCTCTGTTGCTAACAGAGTCCTTTTTTAATCCTTTAGAAACAAGGCTGAGTTGTTGGGTTTTTTCCACCTGGCTGAGTGGGCTGGGGAAGAGGCTTTGAATTTCTGCTCTAGTTTAATGGCTGATCTATGAGCGTTAACACTAATCCATCTCCTATCAAGTTTGTGTAAATTTATTCTCGGCTCTTTACAACCATGACTCCGCTAAACTGCTCAGAAAAAAACCAGAAAATCTGCCTCTTTTGCACTGTAGATGTCTCTTCCATGTGCCAAATGTGAAGATTAGATTCTACCAATGAAAGCCAAATAAATTTTAAAAAAAGAAAAAGCTATATTTGGTAACTACATGGGTTAGATGGGCTTTCCTAATCTGTGTGAGGTCAATCCAAGGGATGTTTACATACTGTAGATAACCTACTTGAACAAATGCAGTATTATAGACCAATAAATGGATGTAAGAAAATTACATGTATAAGTTTTGTATATTTGTTAATTTTGGTAATAAATATGATGTACTGCATACAGTACAATACCTTAGCACCTCTTTTAATAAAAGTTAAACAGAAGGGAAAGTCTGATGGCAATTTATTGACTACTTTGCATGCAGAAGTTATTGCTTATCTGTGGCTTTACATGCCTCAAGCATCATGAAAAAAATGGCTCATCATCATTGTGTCAAGGAGACAAGCCTTCAGTTTGCCGGTTCAAGCAGATTGTCTGCCTCTTTTATCGGTGTTCACTTGGACATTGTCCTTAGCAGTGAATCAGCCCAAGTGCAGCCCACCAGACTAGTTACTCTTCTATTCCAATCATGCTGAAGTCAAAAGAAAGCCTTGGCTGATTTTTTTGAAACGTTATGGCTGGGCCATCGAGAAGCTTGGAAACCAGTTACACAGCCCTGACAGAATCTCACGCCTTCAGAGACATGACAGATTGTAACATGCAATATCCACTTGCGGTCATTCTTACTCTGCAGTCAAAGTTTTGAGCCTGGATCTTATCTTGTTTGCATATGTAAATGGAAAGGGCCAGTGAAATTACATCAACACAAGTTTCATGGAAGGTGGTGAAAGGCTTCTCAAAGCAGAACAATCTGCAAGGACAGTTGCAGGTTTCTTTCTAGCTAAGGACTCTCTCCATCTCAAATTGCCCAGAAAATAGATGTGCAGATATAACCACGCAGTTACCACACTTTCACCATGTGCATACTGTGCTTAGTTTCTGTTGTAGATGTGCACAAAACACTGCTACCTCTGCCTAATCTTAACCTGTACCAACTTAAGACAGGAGCCTTGTTTCCACAGACTCGTACACAGTCATGCACCCCTGGAAAACCAGGCAGCCAGAAAGGAAAAAGAAAGTTCTAGTGACTTCTCAAACATTTACTTATCTGACATGATGAAAATCTGTGCCTTCACAAACGTAATGTGCCATGGGTTCTGCTTATCACCTGAACCTGCCTTACACCATTGCAGAAAGAGCACTGAAAATTATGTGATAATGATTTTTTTACTTATCCTGCAGCACTTATCCTCGCATATCATATTGATTTTATAACACTAGACAAAGAACTGCAACCACCATGATCAAGAAATTGGCATACAGCACACAAAACTGGTGTGAAGACTTCTGAGAGCTTCCTCACCTCCTGACGCAACAGGAATCACAGAACATAGGGCAGGAATGAAGATAGAGAGGACATCTATTCCATCACTTCTCTGTCTGAATTAATCATCAGTTTTATGTATTTTAAGCAGATGCCTCTTTATTTTTAAAACCCCCGACTGTTAAGGCTCTGTAACCTTTCTAGGCAATCTTCCACTGCATCAATATATTCGGTCTTGAAAGCCTTCCCTGGGAAGTATATGGCAAGTATCCCTTGCCGCCATACAAGCCTGCAATGCACACAGATGACTTTGTCCCTCTGTGAAGCTATGGTTTGGTATTTTCAGACCATTACTCTCTCTCCCTTTAGTCACAGTCTACAGTAACAAAAAGTTCATGTCCTGATACCACAACGGTTTACTTCTCCCATTGTAGGCAGAGTGGGAGGAAAGGGGGTAGAATGCAGTCCAGCATCATATTGCCTTCAACTTGAAGATACCTACTGCATTTACTGAGGGTTTTCCCAGGACAAGCTGCTCCAAGACCTGGTTTTACTCCGCAGAAGCCCCCAGCAGTGGCCGCTGCAAGACAGGCTATGCAGCGGCTGAGACTCTAGCTTCCAGGGCTGCGTTACCACCCGGTGGGGAAGGACCAACAGCACTCATGTTAGGTGCGTGCATTCACACCACAGGGGAGCCTGCAGGGACAGCAGGCTCTGAACCCACCTTCCCGAGCTGCATGTCACCGTTAGGCTATCTGATTATCCTCAGGTTTGCCTCAGCTTGCAAGCACAGTCAATAGCTGGACAGCTTGATGCTGTGACACTTACCAGCTGGTGTTTAGTAGGCACTTGGCAGCCTGGCTTTTTTTTTTTCCCCATTTTATGGAACAGGTGACAGTGTTTTTGCAGTCTGTGAAATCTCTGTGCAAACAACCAACACTTGTATCTATCACCCTCCCACAAACAAAACTGAAGAACGCTCTGGTTTTACTGATGAGATATAAAAAGGATCCATTCACGCACACATCAGAGCTCAGCAGGCCTAGCCCAAAATAGAAGAGGGGAGAAGACTCTAAGCCCAAAGGAAACGTATGATGCTGCGGGCTGGCAGTAAAACAAACGTGCTGATCACGCTGGTCCTCAGTCTCCTGCCCTGGGGCTCCTCAAGGCCAGGCCTGGCACTGTGCATGAACATTCACAGCACTACATAAAACCTGCTAGTGGTTTACAGCCAGGGAGCTCAGCCTGCCATGGTGGAGGGACCGGGCTTTGCCACACTGGCAGCCCCAGTCCTGCATGGGACTCGCAGTCTACCCGCTGCCCTGGTATAAGGCAGAAATGTCAGAGGGCCAGGACAAGATCCCATATGCCCTCACCAGTGTTCCCATGCTCCAAGCCCGGTCTGAGTGCATAGAGCTTTTATCATTATTCATTTCATTTGGTTCCTCTGATGACCTTTTTTTTTTAATTTTTCCACAGCTGCCAGTGCTCAGGAAAAAACAAAAGGACTTACCAGCCAGGAACAATCCCCTAGTCTCAGCTGTGGCTGAAAATAAATGGTTCTGAGAAGAAAATAACAGAGGGTGCAAGTCATTTTACTAATTCCAGCCATTTAAAAATTGAGCACATGGCCTAAGCAATCCATCTAAATTCTCTAACTAACAGAGCTAGACAAAGGGTGATTCGTTGCCTCTGTCTGGGCAATCTGTACGATGCTATGGCCCTCTGGAGCTGCTTCTCTCTCAGTTAATGGCCTGGCCTTTGGGGATTTATCCATCCGGTTCAGAGAGTGGCCCTAGGTATGACGTTCTTAAGCCCTCTGCTCTACATTTGGTTTTATGAGTGACCACGGGCAAACACTACAGTCTCTGATGTTTCCCTTTTTCCCTTCCTATCACCCATCTCTGTCTTGTCTAAGTAGATTGCATGACCTGCCATCTCTTATATTGCATTGGTCATCACGTCTAGGCTCTGAGTAGCAGCTCTCCAAGTTGTGTGTCAAGAGCCCAGATCCCTTCAGAGCAGAATGCAGAACTCAAGAAAGCATAAAAAGAGTTAACATCATTCTTTCTGGCATAAATTTTCTTGCAACACTGCATTTCATTTGCTGCTGCATTGCCCATTTATTCAGCTTTATTAGCTCCCTCTTGATTTTGTCATTTCTCCTCCAGCTTTTATTGTCCTTAATCATTTTACACCACCATCACATTTGCTGCTTATGATCCCCTTTTAGACCATTCATTAAAACCAATAGTGACACAGATCCGTGGGGGACCCAAAAGTTATATTTTGGTCACCTTGAAATATGATTTATTAGCCCATGCCTGGATTTTGCTTGGTGCAACTGTCATACAGCACAAAGTAGAACCTGCTTCATTGCCTTGCTGCCTGACCACAGCTCCCAGGAACCATCAAACTGGAGGGACAGATGGGTCCCAGAGGTCTGCCCTGCATATGCACCACATCTCACCTGTCCTGGCCATGAGTATGAGAAATAAGGCATGTAAAAGAAGCACAAATGATGCCTGACATCATTTGATGACAGAAAAGTTCTGACCTGGACAAATTCAAAGTTGAGGAGATTCAGCTGGTTTTGCCTCCATGCTGCCAGGGTGTTATTACTAAGATGCTGTGAGATGCGATCACTTTGGTTTACGCTAGCTAACCCAGGAGAGGCTGCTGCTCCCCAGGAGAAAAGGTGGGTTCTGTAACAAGCGAGGATGGCACGTGAGGAAATCCATAGTGTTGTAAGCTAAATATGTTGCTGCTCTGCTGCCTCCTGTCTGTCAGGGTGTGAGGCAGCCCATGGCATCCTGCTCCATAAATAGCCCTTCATGTATTCTCCTCACATGCTGCTGGTGTAAACAAGGAGTGGGTCGGTCGGACACATCCTAATTTGTGCCTGCTGAGATCTGTAGCGCTCAGAAGAGGAGGACCTGCCTTTCACTCGTAGTGCCCTGTCTCTCTCAGGGCAATGCATATGCCATCAGAGTGCTTCAAGATAGCCACTGCTACGAAACAGCTGTATCACCTAAGGGATTCGTTCTCATGCATACAGGTCAGTGATTTGCCTCTCATTTGGACTGTAATGCAATAATAATCTGTATCAGTGCATCCTCTTTAAACAGACAGAGGAAAATTTACAGGGACAGCAGTGAACCTGAGGTGGAGTCGGAGCTATGATCCAAGGAAAGCAGTAAGGGCTGGAGAGTCTCCCTGCCAAACCAAAGCTTTAGGGACAGATTTTCAGTTTTGCTTTCCTATATCAACATTCTAAAGATCTTGCCCCCACTGAAATGCAAGATATTTTACTGTTGGCCTCAGAGGTGGCAAATCAGGACACCTGCATTACTGACTCTGAGCAGAAGCAGCAGTGCAAATGCTGGTACTGTATTTCCCAAGAAATATTAGAGCAACATGATGGAGGAGGAGGAAGAAAGTCACTTTACAATGACTTTAAAGAATTATGTGGAGGATTTTTTAAGAGCTGATGTAGAAGACAGTACGCTGTCAGAACACCATTTTCAGATCTCATTTGTTATTAAGCCCTCCATTAAGGAATAGGGTTAATAACAAATGGGGAATATGAATTTTCAAACTAGCATCTTAATATCTATAGGCCAGTCCTATGATGACTGATTCTATAATTTTTTCTGACAGGTGCATGAGCTACAACATTTAATACTAGAGGCAGAAGTGCTTGCCATGCTATATAACAAAAATTAATGACAACATCTATCACAACGGGGGGTCAGATTTTCTTTCTGTTTTGTGGGAAGGGTGAAAGACTCACCATGGGACTCAGGAAGTTAAACACTTGTTATTTCAAGGTGTTCATCCTGCCAAGAAGACATGGGTAAGTCAGAGTACAACATGATCCTCCTTGGCACCAGAGTACCGTGATGAGTGTAGA